CATTTCAGATTAGGTACAGGAACTGCAGAGATGCTCACTTCTTAAAGGAGAGCCAAAAATATTTGAGGGATGCTTCACATCTGTTTGCGCAGCTAATGCGTTATGGCCTTTAAGTCAAGTTAAGCCTACTGAGGTCACAGGAACCCACTCGAGAATCATCTGAAGTCACGAAAAATTGCTGGTGCTTAAACCTGCTCTCTCTTGCATCAGAATAACTGACGCAGACTCACATGCCTAAAAATCAAATGACATCATGCTAATTGCTGCATTATTCTATACCTAGGTATGTCTTGCTCCAGTCTCAGACGCTTACATTTTAGTTTCCACAGGCTTCTCCACAGACGCAATTAAGAAAATACACCATTAAAAATTACCTACAAGGTCCCTTGGAAACATTCACTTTAACAAAGCAATGAAGATTAAAACTTTTATTCTCTCATTGGTGTGTATGTTTACAGAATGCTACAATAGGTACTGGTTAGAATCAGAGAATAGAACCATAGAATCATCTAGGTTGGAAGGGACCTTCAAGATCATCTAGTCCAACCATCAACCTAACTCTGACCAAAAAAACCCATCACTAAACCATGTCTCTAAGTACTGTGTCAACCCATCTTTTGAACACCTCCAGGGATGGTGCCTCAACCCCTTCCCTGGGCAGCCCATTCCAAGGCTTAATAACCCTTTCAGTGTAAACATTTTTCCTAATCTCCAACCTGAACCTCCCCTGGTGTAACTTGAGGCCATTTTCCCTTGTCCTGTCTCCTGTGACTTGGGAGAAGAGACCAACCTCCCCTGGCTACACCCTCCTTTCAGGGAGTTGGAGAGAGTGAGAAGGTCTCTCCTCAGCCTCCTCTTCTCCAGGCTGAACACCCCCAGCTCCCTCAGCTGCAGTTCATAAGACTTGTGCTCCAGACCCCTCACCAGCTTTGTTGCCCTTCTCTCTACCCGCTCCAGCCCCTCGATGTCTTTTTTGTGGTGAGGGGCCCAAAACTGGACACAGCCCTGGAGGTGGGGCCTCACCAGTGCCCAGGACAGAGGCACCATCACTGCCCTGCTCCTGCTGGCCACGCTGGTCCTGACCCAGGCCAGGATGCTGGTGGCCTTCTTGGCCACCTGGGCACACTGCTGGCTCCTGTTCAGCCGGTGTCCACCAACACCCCCAGGTCCTTTTCTGCCAGGCAGCTCCAGCCTGTAGCACAGATTTCCTCCGAACTATATAGTAGAGTATACCAACTAATGAGCTGCTACGTGTAAATCAATAGCAATTAAACTGCAAAGCAATGGCCATATCAAAGGCAGGGCTATTCTTGGGGGTTTATGTTCACTCACTAGCCTGCTAAATTCAAGCACTTCGGCACAGCAAGGTTAGTCTCTCTCATTTCTCCTCTGGATGTAGTTACACCATCCCCTTTTGGCTTTAGAGCCATTTTTGGCATGAAAAAAAAATAATCCTGCTTTCTACTCCTCACCCTACTCCTGTCTCTTTACTGTCCTTAACTGCAGGTTCCTGAGCAAACCACAGGATAAAAAAAAAAAAAAAAGAGGTCATTTTAATGACATCTGCTCAAGAATCCAGTTTGCAGCACAACTCCACCAATGGATAAAATCAGGGGGACGGAGCCTTGAGCATGGCCATGGAAATAAACACCCAGCAGAGAAGCTTCGTTGTGTCACACGCTGCGTGCCCGAAGCACGAGGCCACATCATTTGGCCAACGCCTGGAACCAGCCTCAACCAGCTAAAGCGAAGGAGAAGCACATCCCACCTTCTCCCAACAGCAAGAACTCACTACTGCCTGGTGCACCACCCTCTTCTTCACAGGTGCTGTGGACTCCACTGGGTTAGTGGAACTGAGCCTAAATAAACAACCCAGACCAAAAAACCACCCACAATATCATGGAATCAGGGAATTGTCAGAGTTGGAAGGGACCTCTGGAGACCATCCAGTCCAACTCCCCTGCTAAAGCAGGGCTGCCCAGAGCACATCACTCAGGAGCATCCAGGCGGGGCTTGAAGATCTCCAGAGAAGGGGACTCCACACCCTCCCTGGGCAGCCTCTGCCAGGGCTCTGCCACCCTCACCCCAAACAAGTTCTTCCTCCCATTGGAGTGGAACTTCCCATGGTCCAGCTTGTGCCCGTTGCCCCTCGTCCTGTCACTGGGAACCACTGAGAAGAGTCCGGCTCCACCATCCTTCAACTCACCCTTTAGATACTCATGTATTCTCATGTACTCTACAACTCCCTGAAAGGAGGGTGTAGAGAGGTGGGGGTCGGTCTCTTCTCTCAAGTCACAGGCGACAGGACAAGAGGAAATGGCCTCAAGTTGCCCCAGGGGAGGTTCAGGCTGTATTAGGAAAAATTTTTTCACTGAAAGGGTTATCAAACATTGGAATGGGCTGCCCAGGGAGGTGGTTGAGGCACCATCCCTGGAGGTGTTCAAAAGCCGGGTTGATGTAGTGCTGGGAGGTCTGGTTTAGTGATGATGCTCCTTGTTTGTTGTGTGGGTGTCTATTTTTGTCAGTTAGGTTGATGGTTGGACAAGATGATCTTTAAGGTCCCTTCCAACCTAGAAGATTCTGTGATTCTGTATCTTATGTATACTTATGTATCTTATGTATACTTATGTATAGGTTGCAGCTGCATCCATCCAGCTTTCCCAAATGGAAAGGCAGCCTTGGGGAAGCTGTGCCGAGGAGAGGGAGGGAGGGCAGGAGCGAGGCAGAAAGCACTGCTTCTTCCTGCAGCCACGCCAGCTTGAAGTCCAGCCTCGGGTTGAAGTTCCACAGAGGCACGTCCATCTGGATTGAGACACGTGGGAACGGCCACAGTGGGAAGGGGCAGCCCCGTCGCTCAGGCTGTCGCGCAGCGGAGCAGAGCCAGGAGCTCTCCTGTCCCTCCGTCTCACAGGGGATCAGTTTGAGGTGGATCAACCCTTCTGAACTAGCTCAGGGTGCCAGCACGCAGGTTCCACTGCCCGCAGAAGGGGACGAGCCAGACGCCCCCATGAAGCCCAGGGAGTAGAGAATTTGGGGTTGGGACAGGCCCGGCAGCCCCCCTGCTGCAGAGCAGTACTGGCTTTACACCCTCCAGCTGTTTGTGCCTTCAAATCCCTCCCATCTCCACCAATGCCTTCAAATCCTTCCCAAGTAAATCCTTTTTGCTAACGATTATTAAATCCTAACCTATTACAGATACATTAAAGAGCTAACCAAACCACCTTTACCACACAACTCCCCACAACTGCATTAACTTTTTAAGTTACCCAGCAATAGAAAGGGCAGATGAAAGACCTACTTTCTCATCACACCACAAATCTTCAATTCCAGATGTTTTGCTTCTGTTTTGAAGTACCTCAAGAAAAATAAAGCCTGGAGTAGATGACCAGGATTCCAGGTGACTTTAGGAAGTCATTCACTTGTTTCTCAAAGGCCTGGACATCCCCAAGACATCGGCTACCGTCACTTGCTTCCCAGAGATGACAACATCAGTAGAAGCAGGATCCAAAAGCAATTATTATCCCTTTGTACCATCTCCTTTGCAGCCAACAGCACCGTGGATCTGTAGTCACTGATGCTCTGAACTATCCTTCATTTTTTTAGTGACATGGTTTGAGGCAGATCATTGACTCGCTTTCTTCCCCAGTTGCCAGCAGCGTATTCTCCAGCCCTCGCAGCCAAAATCATGTGAATTCACCCATGAATCCTCACATTCTTCAGCTCCTCTGCTATCTGCACAACCAACCAGCAACGGGCCCCTACCCACGTTGCACAGGACTTTGTGGCACCATTTATCCAGCCTCAACTATAGTGCAAAGCATGAAAAAAAGCATCGCCCAGGGAACCACTGACACTAAACCAGTTAAGAATAAAGCACCTTGTTATCAGCCCACCATAACCAATCACAGAATCATTCAGGTTGGAAGAGACCCTTGGGATCATCGAGTTCAACCGTCAACCCTACTCTACAAAGTTCTCCCCTCCACCATGTCCCCCAACACCACATCTAAACAACTCCTAAACACATCCAGGGATGGTGACTCAACCACCTCCCTGGGCAGCCTATTCCAGTCTCTGACCACTCTTTCTGGGAAGAATTGTTTCCAAAAGTCCAGTCTAAACCTACCCTGTTGCAGCTTGAAGCCATTCCCTCTTGTTCTATCGCTAATGACCTGGGAGAAGAGACCAGCACCAACCTCTCTACAGTGTCCTTTCAAGTAGTTGTAGAGAGTGATGAGGTCTCATAGAATCATAGAATTTCCCAGGCCGGAAGGGACCTCCAAAGGTCATCTAGTCCGACCCCCCCGCAGTCAGCAGGGACACCCCCAACTAGACCAGGTTGCCCAGGGCCTCATCGAGCCTCTCCTTGAATATCTCCAGGGATGGGGCCTCAACCACCTCAACCACCACCTTTTGTCTCCCCTCAGCCTCCTCTTCCTCAAACTGAACAGTCCCAGCTCCTTCAATCATAGAATCATAGAATGGTTTGGGTTGGAAGGGACCTCAAAGATCATTGAGTTCCAACCCCCCTGCCCTGGGCAGGGACACCTCCCACTAGAGCAGGTTGCTCTTCATAAGATTTATTTTCCAGGCCCTTCACCAGCTCCATTGCCCTCATCTGCACCTGCTCCAGCACCTCCAGATCTCTTTTGTGTTGAGGTGCCCCAAAACTGGACACAACGCTCAAGCTGTGGCCCCACCAGCGCTGGGTACAGGGGGACAATCCCCTCCTACTTCTGCTGGCCACACTATTTTTGATACAAGCCAGAATGCCGTTGCCTTTCTTGCCCACCTCACACCATGGCAAACACCACCCCGAGACCCAAAGCCACCAGCACGTCCCAGGGCGCACACACACCACCCCCGTGACACCCACCCACAGCCGAACCCCCAAAACCCACCGCGTACCCCACATCCCCAGCCCAGAAAGGGGTTTGGCCCCCGGGATTCGAAGCCTCTCCGGCCCCACAGCCGCCACCACGGCTGCGGGGAGTACCCACCTCGCTTGTTCCTGGTGCCGTGCTGCCGGGCGGCCGCCAGCTCCCGCTGGATCCGCATCTCCAGGTACTCCTGCTTCTTGCTCAGCAGCTCCTCCGTCTCCCGCAGCCGGGCCAGCGCCTCCTGAGGCGAGGGCCCCCCGCGGCCCTTGGAGGCGGCCGAGCCGCCCCCCTTGAAGAACTTGGAAATCTTGCTCATGGCGATGGCGGCGGCACCCGCCGACGGAAGGCTCTGGCC